TGTCCCTCTATTGGGCCAACACTTCTTAAAGGAACAGTATCTTTTTTCTGCAGTCGACAACAGTAGAAATACTAAACTTTGTGTTTATACTAGACTACTATACGGTAGAGGACTTTAGGTTTGTCACTACTAGATATTGACTTTCAAAAAATTAAATTCTCAGAAATATTCACTGGAGTGAAATCATTTTTTAAATGTTTATCAGATGTTTATGCACAAATATGGTGCTTAAAATACTAAGCTTTCCAAATGATGCTCTTTCACAGATATCTCGGGGAAGTATGTATGCTTACTGGGGTATCATAGATTTTACACATCGTTTTGTGACCCTGATACGATCTGCGGTGGAATTCACAGGTCACTAATTAAACAAAATAACATAACAGCTTCTGATTACTCCATTCGTCAACAGAAGACAGACAAAGACCCCCCACGCCCCGGCCCGCCCCACACACACAGACACAAAGCCAGAGAAAAATGAAGACAGTAATCTGTGGAGTAGGGTGCACACTAAAACATTGGCACGCCCTGGGCGCTCATGTCTCTTGGTGTTAGTGGAGTGCAGTAAGGCCATGCATTCTCTCTATTACAAGACTCCCAGGCCTGTAATTAAGTGGGACATGGCAAAACAGCCGTCAGCGAGAGGGGAGGCTGACCTGGAAACCACGCTCTGTCCAAACGGATGATGCAAGAGACCCGTAAAAAACATTTACCAAAGTAATTGGTTTCAGGCAGCATGTCTTTAGATTCAAAATAAAGCAATTTGCATCAATACCTCTTAATAAATGTACAGAAGTGTGAGCCAGAGGTGAGGAAGATGGCCTTTGCCAAACAAAAACATGCTTTGAATAGCGCTATCCATCACACTGCCGTGACGATACCACCTCTTTTATTTCTTGTTCAATTACATGAGGATGAAGAGATCTCACTGGCGTTATTGTTCAGATAATGGTTGTTGGGAAACAACAACAAAAAATCAATAGGTAAAGCCCAAAGTCCTTTTCAAAGGCTGTAATGTAAAGAGATCTCCTAAGGCTGAATGGCATGTGTTTTGTCTTTAAGTGTCAGTTTGATGTCTCCACTTGGACATGTAGGTGAAAATTAAAGAATAATTTTTATAAATAACATTATCAAATAATATTACATTATATAATATATCATTACATAATGCATTGAAATGTCAAACTTTGATTCATATTTTTTCATAATATATCAAGTACTACTTGATACCAATTAAAAGTTTGGGGTCAGTAAGATTTTTCCATGTTTTTGAAAAAAGTCTCTTTTGCTCACCAAGGCTATCTTTATTTGATCAACAATACAGTATAAACAATAATTTTGTGAAATATTATTCTATTGGAATACATTTTAAAATGAAATTTATTCCTCTGATGGCAAAGCTGAGATTTTCAGCATCATTACTCCAGTCTTCATTGTCACATGATCCTTTAGAAATCATTCTAAAATGCTGATTTGGTGCTCAAAAAACTATTATCTATGTTTAAAACAATTTATTCAGGATACTTTGATTAATAGAAAGTTCAAAAAACATCATTTATTTAGAATAGAATTTATTTTTGTAACATTTAATGCATCCTTTGTTGAATAAAAGTAATAAAAGTTATAAAAAATAATTAAAAAACGTACTGACCCCAAACTTTGAAATGGTAGTCTGTTATTTTTCCACGTCATCTTACTACTTTCCAAGCTTAATAAGCACAGAGACCTACAGCATAAGTCATATACGTGACATACTGGCACATAACTTAAATTGTTGGAAGTTATTATAAAGTACTCACCCAAAATATTTAAGTTCACAAAATTAGCATTTTCCCCCTTCCGCTATAAAATAAAAATCAACTTCCCTTTCATATCACTTCCAGTTTATGTCAAAAAATCTTTTGGAGTGGCCAGTTGAGAGCTTAAAAGCTGATTCTTATCTTCAGCCAAAAGGACATCAGATATCTAAATGGAAGCTTTTATAGAGTTAAAAAAGGTAAAATATGCACTATAATAGAGTCCGTAAAGGATGAAACCGCAGATTCTACATATACTGATGCTGGCCATCAGTGCGGAACAGAACACCACAGTTCAAAACAATGTGCTCTACAAGCAGAATGAGTCTAAAATCAAATGCAATAATTCAGTCCAAAGTCATGCATTTTGAACAACTTAAATTTATGATTGTAAAAAGCTAAATGTGTGAAAAGAGATCATTAAGCAGATAAAGTCGGTAATTTCTGCACCACTATGGGCACCAAAAACTGAAAACCTTCAGCTCCGCCCCTTCTCTGTCATTGGCCAGACCAAAAGATAGTTCCTCCCCAAACTCACCCCATTGGTTTACATGTTAAATAAAGAGAGCAATGACAGCAAATATGTCATTTTATGTCATTGTACAACAAATTGCCTTTCAGGGACATTAAAGTTTTCTAAGTCTAAGTCTAATGTTTATAATCAACCAATAGAATGCGTACTTACAGCACATTAAACAGGAAAAAGTATTATATCAATGGAAAATGTTGCAAATTTAATGAGGAAATAAATGAACAAATCAGTCATATCCAAAAAGAAAGAAAAGAGAACTGACTGGGTCTTGAAGAATAGGGTAGGGATTTCAAAAATTAATTAAAGACAAAAATGGGCCCAAATTTATTTGAAATAATGCAGATGATTTGTGCACATAAATAACAGGAAAGCAAACTAAACTTGAAAGCAAAGAATAATAAATAGACAAAATTTCACTAAATATTAGACTGTGTGATGCTGCAAAATACTGCGAGTGATAGACCATGTCTGAACTACACAAAATCGACTTGAGCTTTGCAACCGTCAGGTCCAGGCAGGCTGAACAGACACATCTGGGTGAAATGACCCTTAACTTACTGTGACTGGCAGAACCCAGTCAGGTATGAAGTCTGGCACAGCATCCGAAAAGCAGTATGTGCATGTCATATCCAGCTCACACACCTTGGTGCCATGAAGCTGATGGTCCCCCTCCCAGGATAATATGCTGCTTTAATGAGGCGTAAAATCTCTGGACAAGCAAGGCCATTTTTCCCTGCTAACACCACAGCAACACAGAAGCACAAGGTTGACGGTGAGCTGTGGAGAAATCTTTGGCGCGGTTGCTATGATATCCACAGGACTGTATAGACTAGAGTGACTCAACAAATTCCCATGTAAAAGATTGTGCTCTTGAGATTCTCCCACACAACACACATCTAGTATACACACATCTAGTATGAAGAATAAAGGAAGTCAAAGTGCATTTTTGTAGTAAACTGATGAATATCAGACTCAAAACATCATTACTCACTCTCATATTGTTTCAAACCGGCATGAGACTTTAAAAAAAACTCACATTTTTGCATTATATCCCACTCTTTTCAATATAATTAAAGTTAATGGAACCACAAAATGCACCATAAAAGTACCACAAAAGTGTCTTATAACTAATGGCACCAGATTTGATTTGAGAGCATAACTGAGAGGAAAATTATTAAGCTAGAGTGGCTTAAATTTCACAGAGCTATTGTGTTGCTTCAGAAGACTTGGAATATAGCCGTGTGAGTCATATGGACTTTTTAATGACACTTTTATGGTGTTTTTTAGTAATTTTGGACCTTGATATGCCCATTCCCCATTTACTTTTTACTACATGGAAAAGAGTAGCCAGCATATTCACCATACGGTTTGGAATGAGATGAGGAAGAGTAAAAAATAAAATACATTTTCAACACATTTGTTGAAAGGTACAACAGCGTGATGACAGGAAATAATGGGTCAACAAGCATAAGCCAGATTCAAACTCAAATTGCTTAACTGAAAATTGTATAGCTCAGAGGATGTCTGATATGCTTTATTTGAGTATCAAATGTTCTACTAAATTTTCTTATAGGATAAATAAAAATAGAATGAGAATGAAACAATTGATGACGTACAATAAGAGCAATAAATGTGAATGGATTAGATAATTTGGTTTTAAAAGAATTTGGGAAATATTTAAATTTATCAAGAAAGATCTCAGACTTTTGATTGTAGCTTTTGGAATCTGTAAATCTGAACACAGAATTTCAGATGATATCTCAAACTGGGGGAAACATGCAAGAAAAAGCGGGAAAATAAGCTGAAAAGCACTGAGACCTCAGCAAGCCTCTATTTGTTTTTCATTTAATCTCATTGCATAAGAAAAAATTGGGTTAGTAAAGAAGTGAGGTTGCGAGATATCGCTTTCCACAGTGGCAAAGTTAGTGTTCTGAATAACAGACTCAAACGCAATTGCAATATCATCTAAACTCTTTGACTTTATCATTTGCCATGAACTCTGTTCACTTCTGTGCACATTGCTACAAGCTTGTATACAAGAAACACACACTGAGGCTGAGAAACTGCTGCGTGTAGGTCACTGTGTTCAAGTCACATTGAAACAACATATGGACCCAGCATCCCGGAGCCTGATATTTCTTCTCCTGACAAGCTGAACAACACGCAAGGAGCCGAATATTTCACAAGCATCTCTCGCAAATTAGACTGTGGCTGGACCATTTATCCTGTGAGTAATCCAATTCATTTCTCACTCTGATCCCTATTCATGGGGGAGAAAGATGACTCAGACATTTTAGCACTGCAATAAGTGACTCTAAACAATCCTAATAGAGATGAATAGAGAGGCTAAACGTTTGGAGAATAACGTGATGAATGCTGTAGGAGATACGGCAAGCTGCCTGCAATTCGAGACGTTACGCTTAGACCAGACAAGAGGAGATCTGTTCATCAACTTGTTGGCACAAAATCAAAATATTAATGCTAATTCTAATCACGGACTGATTAAAAACAACATGTCTTGTAAACGGCACATAAGAAAGGACGTATTGACAGCTGTCAATGTAATGGTGGATTCATGGTGTTAGATGAATAAAAATATAATATAGCAACAACAGGAAGGCGAAAAAGATTCTAAATTGCAACAAGCAACAAAATCGACGGCTCCACCTTACCTGTCATTCTCCGCGCTCTTGAAGCCCGGTAAGATGTTCCTGAAGCTGCTGTGCCGGTCGAGCTTCGGTTGACTTTTGGTGCGTTTAATGGAACCCTTCAGTCTGCGGCTGAGAAAGCCCTGGACAGGAAGTCAGAGGAAAGGACTGTATTACACTCACAGATTCATTAACCACTGGAGCAGCTGCATGTGAAAACTGACGCTTGGCTTTTCTCCTTCTATTTGTTCTTTCCTCTCCTCTGCTCTCCTCTCATCCGTAGCGTTTGGTTGAGCCGTGCATAGCTGCGCGATTGGCGTGGCGCACACATCTGCTCGCAGCGCTGGGCTGAAGGAGCTTCACTGATGTGATACTCCCCTTAAAGCTGCTGTTACCATGGAAACTGTTGGCTGGCATTGAGAGGGGGAAAAAATACTGGTGTACTGCAAGTTCATAGGAGGAGAGCTGAGCTGGTGCTTTTCAGAGGCCGTATAGATTAGGACAAGATTAAAAGGACTCGAGTTATTCTTGAAAGACCAAAGTCTATCTGAGTGAGAGATGCTTTGAGAAGGAAAGGAAAGAAAAAAAAGTGCATCTCAGGCATATAGATGCAATTAATGGGTGGGAAATCTGAAGCAAGGCCTCATGCATGAAGTGAATGAATGGCTAATTAATCTAAATAAAGCACTTAGTGCCCGTTGTTGCTCAACAACCGATTAAGGGGCTAACAGAAACAAAGAAAGTCACATTTTAAATGCAATTTAAAAGAAAAGAAAGCAAGAAAAAGATAGAATATATTTACATCTATCTATCTATCTATCTATCTATCTATCTATCTATCTATCTATCTATCTATCTATCTATCTATCTATCTATCTATCTATCTATTTAAATGATGCATAGTTGGTTAAAGTGCTTGTCTGAAATGCTGTGGCAGAAATCAGATTATTTGCTTGAAAGTGAAAAATCTGTCACACTACATACATATATGACCCTTTACCATAACTTAATCACATTTGCTAATAAATATTGTGGTCCTCATCATATTCCTAGGCAATTGAGTTACAACTGAGGCAACCAAATAGATCTGGGGCAATGGTTAGTCCCATGTGGCTTCTTATACTCACCCAACTATCCCAAATCACATTGTGTTACTATTCAGCTTGGGATCTAGTTGCGGACAACTGATTTATTCAATAGCCAGCGATGACGCTGATATCTACAGATCCTATATAATGCCACATTTATAATACATTTTATAATTATAAATTATATCTTATAACTATGATATTTAAATGCAAACATGTCCATCCAGTGAGAAGGCTGTCTGTAGATCATTGAAAAATTACATAAACAGTCGGTCAAACTCACTTATTGCTCAAAGCTGGTAATTTCATATCAGCCGATATAGACGTATGGTAAGTAAAGATTTTTGTTTTTAAGAGATGTCATGACTTGCCTGTTCTCAATGGGTCAGCTTTCAGACATCTTATATCAAAACACCTTCAAAGAATATTTCTACATTTTTCAGTTCTTTGTTTTTTCGGGACATTTTTCACATGAAATTTGCCAATATTAGCTGAACTTCTAAATAGAATTATTCATGGAGCCAGTCAGGGTGAAGGAAGAGCTCTGTTTGATGATGCTGTTGTTTGGAGCAGACATGTAACTGGGGGCTGCAGCCGCAGTCTGGATCAATGACAACACAGTCTGCAGAGCTCCACTCCTGACACAAACTCAAGCCGGGTAGTTATTCTGCATCTTTCAAAATTAAACAATACGCCCGAGACGCGTCTACAGCCAAGTCTATCTTTATCACATGCATTTCCTTACAATGGAATGTTTTTCACAAAATGATGAATGCTTTACCACAAAATAAATTTTATGTGTGAAACTCCACAGTTGTCACAAACAGTGAGACAATGAGACTATTTTCTATCTATCAGAAACTGGTTGTATTGTGAAAACTGGGAGTTACATACCAGAAAGGAGCTAAGGTAACTGCAAATGTGCTAAAGAAATTCCTAACTAGCAATGTGGCTTTTGGTTAACATTATCCAATAGTGTGAAAGACCATGATATCTGCAGAAAACATCATGAAGATGTTTGTTTTTTTGCCAATTACAAGTACAGATAAATAATTCACAATAAGACCAGAAACAAGCATTTGGAAAGTAACAATATATTTAAAAGGTTAAAGTTTTTGTCAAATCATGAACTCAAATCATGAACGCCAATCGGCATTACACACTATTCTAGGCCTAACATATGCGGTTATGTTGGCATCATTCCTCAGTAATAAGCTCTGTCAGCTGTCAAAAGGCTGAAGGTTTGCAGATTCCTTTATGTCTATTGTGTGCATGTACTGAATTCCTGTAATGCTTAGCTGCTGAGCCTGCACTCCTAACCTCCTCTCATCTGCCCCACTCCTGTAATCTTAATGCTTGGCCTCTCTCTGCCCTCTTGTGTCCATGCTTGTGAGTTTGTGTCTGACAGCTTTAATTGTGTGGCTGTCAGTTTGCAGACACGGCATGAAACATTTTGAGGCCGATAAACATTGATTTTAAGGCCCTGTTTAGATTTGTATAACCTGGTTCTTACTTTGTAAGACAGCAGAAGGCTAAGCTCTGTCCTGACCCCCAAACGGCACTGTTAGGCTGTTAGTCACACCAGCGCTAGTGAAGAAAACATCTGGGGCTCTTTTCCGAAACCTCCTGAGACAGCCTTTTTTTTTTAGTCAACATGAAGATTGTTCCAAAAGGATTTAAAAAAAAAAAATAGCTCATTAAAATTAATTTTTCAGTGTAGGAATTAGCCTATGTTACAACTGTAGCCTTTAATGGGTTAAATCCCTATTCCTCACTTGAACTTGTGTTTCGACAAGTAACAAGCCAGTCCTGTTATAACCAGTAGAAATAAGATCTGTTTCTCACCCTTATTGTGCCAATGCACCAAGGTTACAAGATAAACATTCCTGAAAGACATCTAATTTAAGATGAAATATTTCAAGAAGCCCCTTATGCCAAGTCTTCCAGATGTCTCCTTATGCCAGGCGCACACTACAAGACTGAGGCTCACAGTTCAATTGGAAACTCACAGTTTGGCAAATTGTTTTCTTGTTCAAAGTGGGTATTTTGCTCAAAACAAACATTTTGCCAATGGGTTGAGACAAATAAACTTAACTCAAGATACACTCTGAAAACAAGACTTAAAGCTGCAGTAGGGAGTTTTGAGAAAACGTTGACTTAGCCTGAAAATTTGAACAAGCACAACTTACAGGTCCCACCCCCTTGCTCTCTGCTGCGCTACAGCCCTCCCTCCACAGCTCGTCCACCACAGCGGAGCCTGTCGTGAACGCGCAGGCTAGTAAACAGGGCCACCGATAACAGCGGATAAAAAGTGATATGGCACATTCACTAATAGGGACTAAACGTCAACAATATGCTTTACATTGACTATGGCCTGCCCATACTTTGACTACAAACTTGGTCCTCAAATCATTATGTATTTTCCAATAGCCTACATGTAACTTTATAACGTTGCACTCTTTCTATAAGTTATAAATAGCTAGTAAGATAACGTTAATATAACGGTAACTAACGTTACAGTATGTAAGTAATTATTCTAGCAATATATAATGCTAGATAAGGTGTGCTAGTACATTATTTCAGCAACATTACAAGCCAGTGAATTAGCAGGTTTCAATTGTTGCTTAGCAGATTGCGTGACATTTTATCTACATGTTATGCGGCTAGAGTTTTGACACCGAGTCAATGGGCTCTTATCTGTATAATTCTTTCTTTTTCGCTTGTGTCTTTTTCCTTTTACCTCTTTGTTTTATGAGCAGGTGTCACTCGAGAATTGGCAGTTTAGGTTGTTTCTCCGTCATAAGCACAGCTGCAGCACGCCGGCAATCTTGAGTTTGAACGACGGCTCGCGCTGTGCAAGAGAAGGGTGTGATCAGCGCGTCCACGAGCGTGATTGACACTGCTAAGACATTCCTCCTGGCTCTGATTGGTTGTTGCTGACCGGGAGCGTGTATTTCTGCAAATGGCAATAGGACCACTAGGAGGAGCCAGAGGAGCTTGATTTTTTTCACAGATTAGTCAGGACATAATGACAGTTCTAACAAATATGTAAAAAATATTTTTTACAAAAGTTACCTACAGCAGCTTTTAAACGCAAGTATCAAGCGCGAAGCGCAAATAACTTTGTGGGCGGGTCTTGGGCGCTGTTGCTATTTTACCGGCAGGATAAATGACTCTTGCGCCCGACGCAAGTTTAAAAGGGGTTGGTCTGAAATAGCTTCATTATTCATAGGTGTGGTTTAGGCGTAACGTGAAATAAACCAATCAGAGCGTCATCCAACATACCCTTTAAGAGCAGATGCGCATGTTGCATGGCGGATTGTTATCATTATGGCGGATTTACCAGGCGCGCGCCAGGAGCGGTTCACAGCCGAGGAGACCGACGTTCTTGTCAGGGCAGTGAAAGACAGAGAAGTGACGTTGTATGGGGATGGGAGTTTTTTTTTTTTCTGGTTCTTGACGGACAAACTAATTTGTCAGATGTCTTTATATACATATGTGTCTTGCCACTATTGGGCAAACAGGTCTGATCCACCATTACTACAATTAGCCTGAAAAATTTGGGTAAATGTGTAAGCTAGATTTAAATTTTTTACATCTTCATGGACACCACAATGATTTCCCTCATGTGTTAATATTTTTCCTTGTTATAATGCATGATTTGCAAAAATAAAAACGGCTGCATCTGTGTTGATGAGAGAATCAAAGTGTATGCGCATTGTGCACCCGCTACATTATGGCCAAGCATGCGCGCTAAAAATAGCATTATGAACAACGCGCAACGCGCCACTGACTTTAGACTAAGTTTTTTCTGGTCAGTGGCGGAATTGTTTTCTGGAACTGCAAAATAGCATGAGGGAAAGTTTGCGCCGAAACACGCCTCCTTTTTGTGCCGACCCGCCCAGGGAGCGCAAGTTCATTTCGTAGTTTACCGACGTGCGTCTGTGGAGGGAAAAGCCCGCTTTGCGCGGGTGCAAAATAGGAATGATACATGCGTCAGTGTACAAAGTCATTTCCGCCGGGTGCAAGATAGGGCCCAATATCTTATTAATTTT